TATACTAAACGATCAAAGTCTAGTGAAAAATCTTTCAAATCTAGACAATGTATATTCAAAAATTAAAAAGCATGAAAAAAGAGGATTTGCTGCAGATTTGGCACAGCAACAAGAGTTTAAAGTTTACCTAAATAAAATATTTTGGACTGGCATTCCTAATTTTAGAAATACAATTAAAAATGACAAAAAAAGATGATTCAGACAAGCTTGAGGATTTGGAGTTTCTGGAGGACCAAGAAGAGGAGAAAAAAATTTATGCATGGGTCAGAAGATAAAAAGTACAAAAAAAAAGTATGCATTTCTTTAAAAGCAAAAAAAATAAACATTTGCAAGGTTTTCTAAGCAACCTACTTACAATTTGCCATTTTAAAAAATTTTAAATAAAAACAACTAAACTAAAATAACAATGTTCACTCACTATTTCAATATCTTATATAACTAAATTAAATTATTAATTATTAAATTCTTTTGATATTTTTAGGCAATAGTGAGTAGCAGAAAGAGAAAGCATTGCGTGAAACAACAATATAAAGAATTAGAAGGGACAACTATTGTTAAGATTGATACGAATACTAGTTAGGACTCTTCGCATGATTCTGATTTTTATCCTGGAGAGTGGTTTGAAAGAAAACCTTTTCAACAAAAAGTCACTGCTGAAATTCCCATTGATGTTTTTGCTGGTAATGTAGCTCTTATGGCTACAATTAGTAACATTTCTCCAAGTGCTTTGCATAAAGTTACAGGTGGAGTTCTAACTCAATCAGGAGCTGATCTGACAGATTTTAAATATAGCCAGTCTACAGCAGCTAGGAAAATGAAATATGCCATTCGTAATATATGCATAATATCAAAAGAAGATGTTCAACAAGCAATGAATGAATCACCATACTCATGCACAGTACATTTTGATGGCAAAACATTAAATGAACTAAATAAAGAAAAAACAATTAAAATTGATAGACTGGCTGTACTTGTAAATATTGAAGGTGAGACACATCTGCTTGGAGTACCTCCTATAACGTCATCCTCTGGTGAAGATCAGTGCAATGGTGTAATGGACCTTCTTAAGGAGTACAATTTTGGAGCCAAAGTATGTGGAATATGTTTTGATACTACTGCAAGTAACACTGAGTTAAAGAAAGGTTCTTCAATAAGAACAGCTAATAATATAGGCAAATATCTTTTACTTATTACATGCAGACATCATGTATGTGAATTAAGGATGGTTCATTTTTGTAATCCAGTTTCAGATGAACATTCCACAGGACCAGATAAGCCTGTGTTTAAAAAATTAAAAACTGTTTTTAAATTTCCTCATTTTAATTACAATCAAACAGAACTTATAAAGTTTGATTGGAAAGCAGTAAATGGAACCTTTCTTGAGAAAGCTGCACAAGAGTCTTTAAACTTTTGTCAAGAATACATCAGAAAGGGAAGAGAAAATAAAGATTTCATCAGAGAAGATAGAAAGGAGCTTGCAGAACTTGTTGTGATATACCTTTCTCCGTCTTCAGTAAAACTAAGAAAACCCGGAGCAGTTCATCATGCTAGGTTCCTATCTAAAGCACTTTACTACCTAAAGCCACAGCTTCTATCCAGCCAAATTGTATTCGTAAATCAGAACAATAAACTCAAGAAAGAAATCAGGCTAATAAGTGAATTTACAGTTTGCTTTTATGGCAAATGGTATTTACAGGCTAATGACGCTATTAGAGCTACCTTTCTTGATATATAAGCAATACACCAAATGCAACAGAATTGAAAACTTTGTGCCAAACCAGATGCTGTCGATGTAGTTTTAAACTGTCTATATAAACATAATTGGTATTTAGATTCAACAATGATTCCTCTTGCTCTGTTGGATGACGATTTGTCATTTGAGGATAAAGCAAACCTTGCAAAAGTAATTCTAACTTTTAAAATGCCGATTTTAACTTGGTACAATACTAAAAACAAATCAAAAATAGATATAAAAGATAAAACAAAAATTGGAAACGAAGTTAGTTAAAATCCTTCTTCCCTTGTTTTGTTGTTTGATGAACTTTTATATCTTATGTTTGATAGAATTAGATTAGAGTAACAAAGGATAAAAGATTATCTTCTCTTGATAAAAAGAAGAAAAGTGGTGAAAATGAATATGAACGTAACTGAGATTATTTGAACTTGAAATTTAATCCAATAATATGAAACTATTATCAAATATTGTAATTCAAAATACAAAAATAAAAATATATTTTGAAAAAAACTATGATACCATGTATTTTTACTCAAATATATAGGTAAACATAAACAACTCAAAAAAAAAATTTCAAATTTTTGTAGTTAAACTTCCCCCCTGGACCTGTGAAATCAGTAATTTTTAAGAATTTTTTTCTAAAAAAGTGCTTATGGGGTAAGGATTGAGTGGTCCTGTTGAGCTCAAATTTTTTGGGAATTGTTTTTTTAACATTTGCCCCAAATCTAGAGTGTATGGTATTTTAGAATCAAAAATTTCCTCAAAATGATTACCCCTAATATATATATAGATATATATTTATAAGAGATATATATATATATATATATATATATATATATATATATATATATATATATATATATATATATATATATATATATATATTTATTAGTTGGCGGAATGTGACACTTGCAAAAAGTTAAAATCCACACCTAACAATGTTGCGTAATATTGATAAGAACAAAACAATCAAAACCTGAAGATGTAAAGAATTATTTTGTTTCTGAAATTAAACTAAACACTAAAAAATTCGTAACGAAGAAATCCAACAAAAAACTACACCCCTGCAGGATTTCTTTGTAATCAAATATTGAGTCATTAATGTGATGTAGATCCTTATAGAACAACAATTCTTGAATAAAAAATTTTCAATGATAAATTAACATACTATTCATATTTTTAAGTAGACACTATCAGAACTGAAGCTACTCGGTGTAGTTAAGGCAATTTACAAATTATTTGAATTCTTTTATTTGGAATTAGCATGATTTTATCAGCGTATTACGTCCAAACAAGAGTTGATGATGTTTTTTTTTTTTTTTTTTTTTGCTTCAGGTTTTTTTAATATTTGAAGAAACTTTTCTTTTTTATATATAATTTTGAAAACATTTTCACTACCCCTAAAAGTGAATCTAAATAACACCATTTTGAAGTCTTTAGATCACTTTCGCTCATTGGCGTTAACATGAACTTAGTTAAAATCTTGCCTTAACCCAATATAGTTCCAAGTTCTAATTGGTTCTGACGTATATTAACTATATATAGTTGTCAAAATACAATATTTCTATCAATTTTCACAAAAAAACATTATAATTCTGCCCAAGAAAGAGCTTATAATTAAGAAAAATTGCCAATAAACTATTGTATATCAATAAAAAATTTGCATACAAACAAAGAAATGATCTGATTATATAACAAGCAAAAAAACTAGAATCCATTTTTATTGAAATAGTAAACACAAAAATAATCTAATATCATGATTGGCTGTGTATACAGACCGAACAAGTCGTTGTTTCACATGTCGTGTATTCGAACATGTCGTTGGATGGCTTTAATGCGCTCTATATCAATTCTTAACTAATAAAACTGTCTAAAGAAAACAAAACTATATTTATCTTTGGAGATTTTAACTTTATTACTTTAAAAAAAAAAAAAATTTAATCAGTCTTGATCTGCACGTTGCCCTATGGAGTTGCATTTATTTGTAACCAATTGCTTTTACTTTTTCATAATATTATATTTTTATAAGTATATTACACTATGGAAACCTGTCTAAAACATACACATGCGAGAAACCATTAAACTTTTATCATAACCAATTATATTACATTTGTTTTTTTATTTATTTTAGATGAATTGATTTGAATTGGATGGAGGAGATAATTAAAAACAACTAACAATCTACAGCTAATGGCTAAAAAAGTAGTTTACTATATTTGTTATACTCAATGTATGTAAAGGTCATTATAGGTAAAAAACAGTTTTTGTATTCTACATTCTAATCCTTTTAACAAACAAATATTTTAGTAAAAGCTTATTATTTTACAATAATAGTACGTGAAATACGTTGTATTCGTTCAATTTGAAATTGCTACTGACAAAAGTATTAAAGATAGAATTAGCAGCTTTCTGGCCACGGCCATTCATAAAGATATCGGAAGAAATTATCGAACCATGGCTGAGCAACGCCCAATAATGATCAATGAAATAAGTATCAGCAAAATAATGAAAGTAAAGCCCACTATCTGATAATGAGAGTATAATGCAGTAGTTTATAAATATATATACATATTTTTTGTACCTGTATTTAATTAGCTTTGATTTTATTTTGTTATGTTTTGATTTGGGGCATTCTATATCTTTTTTTCATTTGTATCTGTTTTATATTAACTCAAATAAATTTAATGATTAAAAAAAAAAAGTTTTAGTTCTTAAAAATTTATTAAGACAATATTGTTTTTTATTAATTTTCACTAATAAAAATTGATAACCAAAAATACTCAATATTGGCTTGATAAAATTTACAATATTGGCAACTATATTACGCCAATATTGGCCAGTATTATATCCCAATATTAGTGCGATATTATTTACAACAACGGCTCAATATTGTAAACATTATTGCGCCAATATTGCAATATGAACATTTGGCCAATATTGGTCAATACTGGCGGCACAATATTTGCGAAATATTGTACCACCAATATTAGCGAATATTGACTTGACATTATTGGCGCAATATTGTACCGCAAATATTGGCCAATATTGGCAAAATGTTCACATGGTAACATTTGCGCAATATTGTTTACAATATTGCGCCAATATTGTTTACAATATTGCACTAATATTGTAGACAAAACTGCCCCAATATTGCGCCAATATTGTTTGCTACTTGGGTAGCCATTAATTTTCTTAGAAAGACCAGATAAGACTACTCAATTAAGACAAGGTATTAAACTATATACGAAAATGAAAAAATTCCTACCGTTATGGTTTGGCATGATATTTGGTAAATTAACTGGGTTATGTTTTTCTTTAAGAAGTTCTTTTAGAAAACTATCCTCATGATAACTAGTTAACCTAGCATTTTCTAATTTATTTAAAAAGTTTAACAAGACAACATCCTGACGGCTCTCATGAAGACGTACTTTTAAATAATTGAAAATTGCGTCATAAAAGTTTTTGGCCAAATATATACTCTTCTTTTTCTTCTTCTGTTTTGTTATTTCAACTATTTCAGAAACAGCTAGTAAAAAAGAATGTATGGATTCAATCAATGCATCTAAAATAAAAGAATATTTTAAACAAACAATTAAAAAATAACAGCAATAACAACAACGTTAACAAACAGACAAAAAAAAAAAAAAAAATACACATAAAAAAGAACTGAATATTTTACACAACTGTAATTTTAAAATATTTTATTTCATTCTATCGATATTTATCGGGTAATTCATTTTATCGATATTTATCAACTATTTTATTTCATTTTATCGATATTTATCGGTTATTTCATTTTATCGATATTTATCAATTATTTTATTTCATTTTATCGATATTTATCGGGTTTTTCATTTTATCGATATTTATCGATTATTTTATTTCATTCTATCGATACTTATCGATTATTTTAATTTCATCGTTTTTATTATATTCATATTTAAAAAAATCAAAACTTTTAAAGATTTTTTTAATTTGAGTGGAGTACACACTTAACAAATTTTGTTTGAAGTTTTTAGCCATAACTTCCTGATTTTTGTTTACAGCGAAACTATAACTTCGGTTACGCAATATTTACTTAAACAATTTTTTTTTCCTCTCGCATACCGAAACTCTCCCATCCTGAAACACTGCAGATACGTAAATTATCGAGCTGAGAAGCTTAAACAATAAATTCAAATATAAATATATTCATTGGTAAAGAGAACTTTTCAAATGAAGTTTTAGAAAATTAAAAGATTTTATATGTATGTATATGTAAGCAGAACAAATTTGCTAAACTTTTTTTTTTAATTTAAAAATCACTTGACATGTGTTATTATTTCGCAATTTATGCGTTTTTGTGTAACTTAAATCATAATCGTGTATAATATTTGCCAATTTAAAAAAAAAGCATTATTTCAAAATAAATAGGCTCAACAAGAAACATTTTTTGTGTAAAACACTCAAACTTTAAACTTTTCATGTAATTTGATCAAAGTGTACAAAAATAGTTTAACATTAATCACATGAAATAATAACGAACAATAATCTCCAAAAATCAATTCATTTTTGAATTATTTATGGCACAGAATTTTTCGTTTAAAATGAAAAATTACCACATTTGTGAAATTGACGGTGCTTAGAGGATTAATAAAACAGCAAAAAATTTTAAAAACTCTTATATAACGGTTATTACCTTGACAAATGGGAAAACAAATATCCAGGTATAAAATATTTAATTGATTAATATTGCAATTTCAGTATACTTAAAAATGGAAATTTATAGCATAATGTGAAAATCAAAAACATACCATTATTTTTATGACTTTCAACAATCTGGAAAATACTTTGATATTTCTTCTCGTTTAGAAAATGTATAACGTATGTCTCGCTTGCACCATTCTTACTTTTTCTGATTAATTCGGAAAATACCATAAACCCATACTCGGATGCTTCGTCGTCCAGACCAAACTTCTGCAAACAGTCATAAGTTTGATACATAAAAGATAAACAAGTTTCAGTCTTGAATGGTAAACAATCAAGAAACTTGAAACAACAAATCAAAAAGTTCATTACAATGGTAACGGTATTTCCATATACATCGGAATTTAATGTATTCCATTGATCACAACAAATCTTTATAATGTTTAAAATTTTTACGTGAAAATGATGAGATTCAAACAGTAAGTTTAGCAATTCAACGTCACCGCTTAATTGAATCATAACAGTCAACGAACAAATACCTAATTGCTGCATTTGTATGTCGGAAACGAATGATGTTTTAAAACAATCCAGAATTTTTTCCAACGTTTCAGTTAAAGAATGTTGATGAAAATTTATAAAAGACAAATCATCACAATTTAGTATATCTTGCATTAATTTTACGAGCTTAGAACGTGTACTTGACTCGACCGTCTGCAAATAAACCACATCCATTCGGGTGATTTTTTACAAAATGTTCTCACAGGAATAAAAAAAACAAAACAAAAATGTTTTTTGCACGTCAATACCTCGAAAAAGCTATTACTTATAATACAAATTTAAAGAAGTACAACACCAGATCAGCCAATACTACAGGAATGTACATGTACGGCACTAAGTCAGCCAACACTGCCGAAATAACAAAGCCTATAAAAATGATTGCTTTTTGATAAGATTTTTTTTGTTAAGTTAATCTAAATATATTAGTTAGTTTACCAAGTGTATCTACATATAGCATACGTATAGTTTAAGAATTTTATTTATATAAGAATAATAAATATTGCGTCATAATAAACAGTGCCTTAACTAAACGAAACGAATAAGTGTCATTTTGTTTACAATGTTGAAATTTGTAGCAAGTTTAAATTTAGGTCATTTAATAAAGCCACGTTTAATGGAATTTAGAACATCTTTATTAATTTTCAATTTTTTTTGACTGGTAAAAGTTTTCATATATCAAGATCAAAACATAAATGTTTACTAAGTCATTTTACAATCTTTTAACTCCAAAAATTAATTTGATGTCGCGATGTTAATATTACGTAGGAAAAAAGCAAATATATAAATAGCTGTTTCATTTAAACTTATACTGCTATATTCATATTTCTTCCATCAAGTTTAATTAGGGATTAAGATCATGGGAAATTCTATAACTTTTGTATTATTTACAATTTTGTTGACCATGCATAGATCATCTAGGTCAAGATTTAAGAAATCCAGAAAACACTTTGCAAAAACAATTCTGAATTTATTAGCTTCATATTTGTCTTAATTTAGCTTCAAACTGATGGCTTTTTCAGTTAAAAACTTTCTCTTTTTGGTATAACGGAGTTTTTCCAGACAGAAAGGTCCGGAAAAAGATCCTATACCTATTTTTAATTTAAATAAGTCGCTAACTACATGCACAACTAAACGTAAATCGGAGCAGTATAATAAAGCTGAAGTTTCGAAAAAGCAGTTTTTTTAAAAAAACTTTTTAAAAATAATTTTTAAACTTAAGAAAAGAAATGCTGTTTTATCTGTTTGTTTCGTAACCTAAGTAACGCCACTTAGCAGTTTGTTTGTTAAGGGGTCGTCCATAAAGAACGTACGCCAAAAATTTTGAAATTTGACACCCCCTCCCCCCTGTTGCTATTGGTACATTTAAGTCCCCACCCCCTTGAAAAGTACGTAATGCTATGGACTTAGTCGGTGGAGATCGGAGTTTGAATCCCTGATGAGTCTTTTTTTTTTCTTTTTAAGTGCGCCAAGGTGCGCACTTAAAAAGAAAAAAAAAAAAGACTCATCCGGGATGAGTCTTTTTTTTTTTTAAGTGCGCCACGGTGTTCTTGTCACAGAACACCGTGGAAGTGCATTTAACCAGGAAGTTCACGTCTTCTTCCTTACCGTAACCCGAAAATATGACCAGAACTTGTTTCGAACCTGGATCTCTTGCTTATAAAGCAAGCGTTCTTACCACTGTGCCATGGCCGCATAAGTTTTATTTTCGAATAAAATAAAAACAAATTTACTTGAGGCAGACGTTTTATTCAGGCACTCCTCTTTAGTAAGTCCGTAAAGAATGAGTCTTACGCGAGATCAGTATTGAAAAAAATATTGAAAAAAAAGCCTAAAACAGAGTGCCGAGGATAGGCTACCCATAAACCTTGTTTAAAGGTGGGTGTGTGTGTGGGGAGGGGGGAGGGGGACAGGAAATTGCTAAAAATTGGATGGCAGAGGCCTGGGAACAAAAAGGCCTAAAACGCCTTTTTTTTTTTGAAAGAGGGGGTCGGAAAAATTGAATGATCATAACTTTCGTTATTTACAACATTTTTCTACGAAATTTAAAATCTGTCGATAAATATAAATTTAGTTCTAGATAGTAATAAATTTAGTTCGAGATAGTAAAGTTTAAGATTTTTCAATATTAGTGCCCTCACGTTTGGGCAATGAAGCAAGCGTTTTAGGATTTTTTGTTCCAAGGTTTCCGCCATCCCATATTTTTGCAAGGCCTCCTCAATTGGCATAGGTATAAACATACTTAAGTTTGAAGTTTTCACAATCCTGCGGGCACCCATGCATGCGTGTGCATAGAAGGAAACTATACCCTTTACTCCTTAGGGATCGTTCATAAATTACGTAACACAAAATTTCACAATAAATAAAACAAAGAAAGATCAAAAGTTTTCTCTTGCTAAGTCTTTTAATTTAAATAAATAATCAAAATAGAAATTAAAGTTAAAAAAAAATCGCCGCGTAAAAAAACTTATTATCTTCTACTTCTTTTCTTAAAATATTTTTTGCGTTGCGTAATTTATGGACGATCTCTTAAGACAAACTAGGAGAATTTTAACTTTTCTATTGATTAGCTGATTGTGATAAATTAGAAAATCGAAGTACGCACTATTAAATTGAACCTCCCCACCCATACACTTTCGTACGCTTTCTGAAGACACCCCCCTCCCCCTATAAGCGTACGTACTTTATGGACAACTCCCTATCTCAAGTTGAGTAAAGACAAAATGTCGAAATATTAAAAAATAACATTCTTTAACATATATTGATAATTACAAATACACAACATATCCGAAGAAAATGTTTTTAAAATTTTACAATAATAAAACAAAATTATTTGATTAAATGAAAAAATATATATTGCATAAATAAATACAGATAAAATATTATATACATATACAAACACGCCATAACAGTTGCGCCTTAAAATATTTTATTGTAGTATGGAAGTAATCTAGTCACCATACCAACTGTGGATTGGAAGAATACTTTTTATAGTCATCAAAACGAAAAAAAGATAAAACAGTTTCATTGATAACTCCCATATCCGCAAGCGACTTTTCGTCTTGAAGAATTAATTTTTCGTCATTATCTCGATTAATAACTGGATCGTTTGATTTCATTCCAAAGGGCTGGTGTTCGATTTTCATCTTATTATATTCGAACTTTCGAAACGGTGGAGGTATATCCGTTCGCAATGCTATGTCTTTGAGCACAAAATCAATAAAGCTTTTGCAAGTCATAGACGTATCAACCTGATGATATACAATATTTCGAATGTTACGATGTTCGAAGGATCGTATCAATCGAACTGTAACAACGCAACCATTCTGTTCCATTTTACCAAGCAATCATTAATAATACCTACTATAGATAAAACTTACACAATTAACAGCTAGTTTTTTTAAACTTATAGGAGCACATCACTAGAGATAATTTAATTAAAAAATCTAGTTATTTCTTTTAACAAATTTTGAAATTTTTATTGCAGTTAAAATAAAATACGAAAAAAAAAAAAAAAAAAAATTAAATACTGCCATTACAAAAATGAAAACTAATAAAGTAGGTTTTTTTAACACCTTTATCTCTTCTACAAATCCCCGTGGAATAATATAGATTTATATATTTAGGCCATAAAACTATAATTATGGAGTAATGCATTATTAAATAAAAAATTTATTAATATGAATATATTTAAAAATAATAAACATTGTCTTCGATTTAAAAAAACCGCTTTTAGAGATGTGTCATAATAGAAGATACATTAAAAACGTCAAACTCGTCAATAAAGGTTTCAAATACAACCCAGAAGATAGATGAAACCGATTTCTTTTTTACAAAAATTTTAAACTAAAATAACGAAAAATTTATCGCTATTCTTCTGATTGCTTAGCCTTCTTCTTCTTCTTTTTTTTCTTAGAAACTGTTTCATCATCTGGCAACGCGATTTCTTCATCTTCAACTTTCACCTAAAAAGTATTTTAAATTAAAAAAAAAAAAAAAAAAAAAAAAAAAACTGTTTAGCGAACATAAAAGGTTTGTTATGTTTTGTAGTGACATACTATAAACAATAGCTACACATACGGATTTAATTTATTTGTAGATATTTTTCACCTTGTCTGGCGATTTTATAGTATAACTATATTCAACTTTAAATTAACAGTATTAATAAAAAAAAAAACAGCTAATTCATTTGAAAACCTTTTTTTTCTTGTGGTGAGAACTCTCTTCAATCACGTCATCATCGTTTTCCAACTTGCGTTTTAAATTCTTTTTTTTTGGTTCTACATTTTCTTTTTCAACATTCTGTAATTTAAATAAGCTTAAGTGTATAATAAAAATATTACATATATAAAAAAAAATAGATTTGAAAAAATTAAGTACATAAAAAAATGGTTACTTGTGTTTTCTGAAAAGCATTTTAATAATGACTTCCAGGAAGAAAAAAAAAATCAAAATAACACTATGACTAAATAACACACATACACACACATACGGGATATTACTGTAAGATCGAAATAATATAATATCGCTGCTGATAGTTTTACCAAATGCTGTGGTAGTCCTATTGCTTCAAGCAGACACACAAACAGGGGCACCGCCAGCATTTTTTGGTCTTTGAGATAGCTAACTTCTAGACATGGAGCAAACTCCAAACATTCATGTTTATACTTATGTCAAATAAGGATGCTTTGCAAAAAATTGCAATTGATTGGAGCTTGGGAACAAAAAAAAACCCTTAAATTTTGTCCCCCCTGCCCCAAACGTGAGAGAAAAAAGGTGATGAAATATTTTTTATACTATTTTCAACTAGACTTACATTAAACAAAAAATATAAAGTTTTATAGTATTATCTCTAAGCGTTCAAAAATTATGACAATAAAATTTGCAACCCCCTCAAATTGAGGGGGGTTTAAACTTTGTATAGTCATAATTTTTGAACACTAAAATATTTTACTATGAAACCAAGTTTATCTACTTGAACGTGTTATAGTCAATAAAGAGCTTCTTCACTCTCTAGATTTTGCACAAGATCAGCCTTCATGTCTTTGCTTTGCCTCCATGTCTAGTAACTGAGCAATTTTGGCTCATCTTTGATAAGATTGGTCATGGAAAGAGTGAGTTACAGTGGCTTAAGATTCCTTCACAGTTCTGGAAGTTTAACGATTTTTATCTTAAGTTTGATATTATTATTATATCCTTTGATGTGGTCAATGACTCATCAGAGAGGGCCATTAAACTAGTAAAAGAACTGATTGGAAAATCAGCCAAAGAGAAGAAAAGACTTGCTTAACCATGTTTACCAAGGAGTTTAGCAAGGAGCAAAGAAAACAGAATTAGCATCAAACGCAATTAACAGTATTTTAAAACAACTTGTTAATAACTTAATAAAAGTGTCAAATTGCGTTTAATTTGTTTTTCTCACTCATCTTCCTGCAACTTAAATGAAAGATATATTAATAGGGGAGAGCTAACCAACTTGCTTTATATACTTCACTAAGCTTGATATCCAAAAAAATGTATATTTTATTAGCTTATTTATAATTTGATTAAAGTGGATTTTGTAATAAAAAAGACCGTAGAAATAGGATAATAATTTTTTTTTGTCTACTTTATTACTTTTTCAGTGTTGAGAAAAAAAAAAAGAATGAGTGCCTTATTTTTTATTAGTCATCGCAAGAATAAATATAGGAAAAAAAATTAAAGTTGAAGGGTACACATGGGTAAAAAATGTCAAAATAGGGTATAAAAAAAAAAAAAAAAAAAAAAAAAAAAAAAAAAAAAAAAAAAAAAAAAAGAACTTTTGGGCCGTGTGCCACCCTGAAACTTTTTTTAATTATAAAAAAAAATCTTACATATAAAACAAGGGTCTGCGCGCGCACGCACGCGCACACACACATACATACATATATATATATATATATATATATATATATATATATACATATACATACACACACACACAAAATAGAGCATTAACTTCAATAAAAATATATTTAATGATTTTATCAACATTCATTTCAGCCCTTGTCATAAACTTAAGGCTTAATGTTTTATCAAACTACGCATCTGCCCCAGTCAAATAAAACACAAGTTGTTTACTAATATTAATTAGCTTGGCAAATAATTGAATCGAACAAAATCATTAGAGTCTGATCAGAAAATTATTTATGCTTGATTTAAGTCTATAAATAATAAATGTATAAGTAAAAAACAAACTTTATTTACATCTTTATCTTTATCCTTATTTTTCTTCTTTTTTTTTTTGGATGCCTTCTCAGCAGTTTTTTGTGCTTTAGCAACTTCAGCAAGCACTTCAGCCATAGCATCAGCATTTTTAATTGGCGCCTCACCAGTCTCATAAAACTTTAATCTATCATCCACTTGATCATGCAACTTTTTTCCAAATAAATCCGTTGGAAAATCTGTGTAATAAAAAAAATTTAACCAATAAATTTAAATTGACTAATTAATTCAAACTAATAATAATTATTAAACTATAAAAATAAAAAAAAGATAAATATAAAAACCTGAAAAGCAATCAATCCTTGAAGCTATAGAGCATTTGTTGGCCAGGTATCGTGATATACGACCTTTATTTTTTGCAGCTGCACGACCAATAAAAGATGAATGAAATATGAGACCATACTTTGGTGTGTTGCCTTTAGTCTTTAGAGCCCTACAATCACCAAATTTTTTTAGATAATCTATTTTTAAAAGGAATGTTGCCATTTTTTACTAGATGTTCTTTCTATTGATATTGTATTTTGCAAAATTATTAGCTTTTAAGTATTATTGTCATCAGTGAAAAAATAATTAATATTCAATATTACATACTTGTAATTACTTTTTTTATTTAAAAATTTTGTTTTATATTACTTTGTATAAACTTAATTCTGAGAATATAGTTTGAAAATTGTATTAAAATACAATATACAATTAGATTAAAGTATGGATTCAAATATAAGGTTGTCGCTGATGAATAGGAATAAGCCTAAAATAATTGCATTGGCAAATAGTAAGTAATCATGTTACTTGTTGCTTTAACAAAACTACTCGCTATTTGTGTTAAGCAAATAATAAGTCTACTAATGCTTCTGACTCAATTTAATAAGCTTTTTCATTGCACATTAAAATTAAAGATTTACCTACCTTTAGTAATTGACCGGGGCCTCGGCCAAAAATGAGACTTTTTGAAAACCCAGCCCTGGCAAATTTATAAGATTTAGCAGGGGTTGATAGCCGGGGCTAGAAAAAAATTTATAATACTTAATATATTATAATTTTATACTTACATTTACAACTTGTTAAATACTGGCATACTACTACATATTTTTAAACTCTAATTTACTTCCAACAAGATTTCAAGCAACCACTATTAAGTTATGAATTACTTTAAAATAGAGAATAAGTTAAAATACTAGGAAATGTATAACTGAAGATTTAAAAAGTTGTATAAAAAAGGAAAACAGGAAGATGAGTTAAAGTTAAAAGGTTTTTTTGATGTTCAAGGAAAAAAACTGGATTAATACAGATAAAGTAAAAAAATGCAACTAGTTGAATAAAAAGCCAAGGAAGAATGAGTTTTGGAATATCCTTATAGAGATGATAACTCGTTTAAGCATTGACCATAATTATATTTGTAGACAAAAGGAAATGCAACCTTACAACAATGGGAGAGTGACTCAAGCTTGGCAGATAAAGCAGGTATAATTACATTTACAGTGTGCTTTTAGACTTTGTCAGAGAGTAAGAGGGTTATTATTTGTCAATATAGGAATGCCAACAATACTGCAACATTTTTTGCAGTAAATAAATGAGTTTAGTTGTCTAACAAAAAATGTTTGTTCTAAGCAATTAAAAAGTGAAGATCGTTATTGTAGATAAGAAACAATACAGGAGCAAAGATAGAACCTTGTGTTATCCTTTAAGTTACTTAAAATAAAGAGTTTAGGCCTTCAAAAAACTTTACTACTGCAGTTAGAAAGAAATAATTTAATAACCTCAAAACCTTTATATGAAGAAACTAATAACAGAGTGAAGACTAACTGTAGGATGGTTGGAGAGGTCAAAGTGTTTTCTAGAGTTTTGAAAAATCAGTACCACTTATTTAATGCTTTTTAAAAGATTAGCAAAAATTGAAGAGAATTCTGAACAACACTTTTTTAAGACTGTGATGGAAATCTTGTCTGGAGCAAAACTGTAGAAATGTTAAATTGAGAACTAACGTTAGCAAGCCAGAGTGATTCGGATGTTTAACAATAGGTTAATCTGTTTAACTGGCAGGAAGAGTATGGCCATTAGATTCAAGAGTCAAATTAGACAAGGATTTCTTTGCAAATAATCTGCTCTTTTCTGAAGAGAAGTAAAAAATCAGAAGCATGGATTAGAGATTAAATGTTAAACTTACTTTAGTTAATGACACTGTTGAAGGCTTTTTAAAAGTCTCTAGTACCTAACATCTGAGATAAGATACAAGATTTAGTAAACTAAGAATAACAGAGCTTAGCATCAGACAGCAGGCCTTGCGATAAAGCGTCGGGCGATATGAATTTTACGGCATCCAAGAGCGATTTTGCGTGTAGCTAGGGCTATGTGCGTTCAGCAAAAAAATTTTTTTTTGAGTATATTTAAAGATATTTTTGAGCGGAATTTTAATGAAGTAATTTACGATTATTTTAACATTTAATAAAGTATTTTAAAAACTGCACGCAGTTGATACAAAAGTTTGAATTACAAAAAAATTAAATATGCTCATTATTTACAAGTAGAAAAAATTCAGATAAAAAAAAAAGTTTAAATCTTTTTAAGGTAACATTTTAATAAAATTATTCAGCAATAGCAAAGTTGTCGATAAAATTGAACAAAAATGCTTTCTTTTAGTTTTAGATATTTAACTTAAATAGTTATTTTACGGGGGTTTGATAGGTTTTAAAATTATTCCATAGATTTAAAAATATTTATTAACTGTTAGACGTATTTAAAGTACTTAAGAGTAATTTCGAGGAAGCATTTTAAAAATTGGTAAGCGCAAATAAAAAAAAAAAAAAAAAGGAATAATATTAAAATGTATTCTACTTGATTCAATAAAAAAAGTACAGCTATTAAAATTTTTGTAAAAAGTAACTCGAAAAAAATTAATTAAATAATAACAATCGCTTTTATGTTAAAAGTTACCGAAACTCAACGAAGCGTGCTCAAGATCAGCTGCTGAAAAATAGAACGTCAATAGTTTTTCGAATAATTTTTAAGAATAATTTTTTTGCTAAAATATGTCTTTTATACATATAAGATTTTTATTCTAACATTTTATTTTACCAAAAATAAAATTCCTTGTAAACATTAAAGATCTATTCAAAACGTTCGTTAAAGTTTTTTAATAATACAAGTGATTGTGCTTATCAACCGCTTTATGAAAATAAATAAAAATAAATAAATAAAAAAATATTATATAAAATGGCTAGTAAAAATATTAGCTATTGCACAGTTTTTAATCGTAAAATATTAAAATTTCCAGTTTATTACTCGCTGACTTTTTAAAAAGAAAAAATAATTATTCGAAAAACTTTAGATTATATATTTGAGAAAAAAAAAAATCAAATATTAGCATATTTTATTATCTTTTTTAAAAAGTGTCAAACGTCGAGAAAATAAACAAATGTTTTTACATTTTAAAAAACAAAACATTTTAAAACATTTTTAAATAATAACATTTCTACATTAATGATTTAAAGTAGTTTTGCGGTAATTAAGTAAATTGGTGCAGTTAATGTCGATAAATATGAAAAGCAAATAAAAAGAATTTAATGATGTCAAAAATCATGTTGTGCTTATATGTCGCGCAGTTTTTATTCATCACTAGGATTGAGACAGGACCTTTTTATGTCGGCTTCTTGGATAATAAATGAACATTTGTTCTTAAGAGATATGTTCCTAAAAAAAAAAGATGAAAAAAAAAAAAAAGATTAATACTTAATAAAGCAACTGCTCAAGATAGTAAAAATGTGGAATAGAATGAGGCTTGACTTAAAATTGAAAAAAAGGAATAAAAGCCTTCAAGATGCGCTTTATGCATACATATTATAGATATAAACTTATGTTTGCTATTTAATTAGATCATAGATCATCCAGGCTATGTTTTGAAAATCTGGAAAATTGCTTAGGTAAAATATCCAGAAAAAAATCGGGAATATATTTTTCCTTATTTTCCTCTTAATTATGCATTTAGCTGAGTTGTTTCAAAATTTTTTTCCAAACTTTTTATAATTTTTGTATGACTGATAAGTGAAAAAGCTTAAAAAACAAACATATTACAAATGCATGAGTTGTCACAGAACTACTAATCTATCTTGATAAAGATATAATCATTCAATACCAAATCAATATAGACAAATAAACAAACTTAAAATATTGGAAAGATTTTTAAATATATTTAGCAATAAATATCTTTAAATATATTAAGGATTTTATTCATATTTTTAATGTGAATTTTGCAAAAATTGAAGAATAATTTAACAAATAGTTTAGTAAAAAAACTATAAAAATCTCTAGATTTCTTTAAAAAAATTAACAATGACATTATATACCGTAACTTTTTGGAATTAAACGCGCTTGAATAAATTATAGTCTATAGATTGCATTAAAAAAACACGTATATTTAAAAGACTTATAAACTAAAGCGGAGCTTTGACTAAAACTACATACACGCTAGTTTTTTTTGTATAGCTTGTTTCTTTTTGAGTGTATACATTTATTATTTAGTTTCAATCAAAAAATCCAGCCCAAACATTTAAAAAAAACATTCTCTTTTATATGAACACAACTTGTCTCAGCACTTTAAGTACATTGAGCACTTTTTTTGTAGAATATACTAACATATTTGATATATATGTTTATGTAAATACACATGCACCCAAACATCTGTGCTAACTTAGCAAACCTTGTTGATGTTATATGATGATGTTATATTAAAGGTTTACTGAAGATTTGTATAGATTTTCTAATTATTCTTTGTATATTTGTTCTTTTTCTAAAAAGCTGTGTGAAAGTCAGCCTTTTTACACCTTAATTGTGCAAAATACATTAGGACAGTGCTAATCTAAATACTCAAGGACAAGGATAAAGATATATATATATATATATATATATATATATATATATATATATATATATATATATATATATATATATATATATATATCAATGCACATGTACACACACATAATATGCATTCATACCGAAATAAAGCCTTTTCAGCTCCAAGTATTTGAACAGTTGAGGCAGGATATTTTGCTAAATTTGTTAAACTTCCAGCATGTGCAATTAAACGTGCTCCAACCTATAATAAAACAAAAACAACTTATATGTAGATATAATTTCAAAGAAATTTCAGAAAGATTTCTTTTTTTAGAATTAATTTGCCATATTTCAAATAGCAATTTAAGAATGAGAATTCAATACATTGTTTATACTGACAATATATCACATTTTATCTGTTCAATTAGAATAAGTTTAAAATTTTACTGTTCTTTTAAAATTTAAAATTATTTTTTTATCTAAAACACGCAAAACACAATGTTGTTTTATTTTAACACACGGTGTTAAAATAAAACAACATTGTGAAGTTGTTTTATTAAAAAGAATATTTTTAAATAGCATAGAAAAAAAAAAACTCTGGCTAAAGAATAAGTAAAACTTAAAAAAAAGAGAAGAGAACATAGAGACAAAAATACCAACTAGTAAACGGTCAGAAAGTCATTCACAGTTTTTTTTCCTATTCAGGTTGGATCAAAGTGAAATAAAGTTGAATAAAAATATAAAAAATATGTTACTAAATTCAAACAAATTGTTACAATTTACATTAAAATTGAATGATTTTATTTGATCAAAATAGACAAAAGAAAATTTATAAATTGTTATACTTATTAAGTATTGATAAAGATTTTTCTGAATAAATGCATTTAGAGATGAACAGTTGTAAAATAATGTTCATTTATGGTAATTCATATAAACTCAGTTTTATTAATATGGTAGCATTATTAATATGGTATTTCTTCTAAACTCAGCTTTATTACTAGGCCCAAAAAAATTGCGATTTAACAAAGAATATCATAAACATACTTGAAAATAAAAATGAAGTGTAATATTAACAATACATTGAAATTATAAGATTAGAACAAATTATGTGATTTATATTTGCTAACCCTAAATAAAAAAGATAAAAAGAGTAACTTTTATTTCTTATTGCAGCTTGCTCTAATTGTAGCAGACAAAATCATTTTATTTAATTAATTTTGTTTTGTACAAAAATTCTAAAAATAGGAAAAAAATTATATAGAATACAACATGTTGTAACAACATTCAACTGTTGAATCTAAAAGACATCAAGATCAACATTATGGTATCCTAAATGCATTCTCAATCACTATACTACATTCATTAAGAGAAATGATCAAGTTAGCCTCTATAATAAGATTTCTACAATTTGAAAAAAATTTCACGAGCTAATTTTCAATATTCTTACTATATAATCATTTCAGAAAAATTGTCTGTTGTCTAGAAATTTTGTGATCTTTGATGTAATAGAAAACTCAAGCAACTTTTTTATTCAAAACTTGAGATAATGTTTTGAAAAATAAATCAAAGGAAAAAAAAAAAAAAATAACAAAATAATAAAGAGCAAAAAGATTTTGACTATTACCTACCTGTTACTTACCTATTAACCTGATACTAAGTTACCTTTTACCTAATTAAAAACAACATAAAATTGACTTTTTTTAATAAAAATCATGTTAATATAAATTCAGAAATAGCAAGAGCTATAATTTCATTATATAAACTTTATATAGGCTTGCTCATATAATGTGTACATACTTGTAATAAAGGCTTGTAATTTGTCAATTAAGAAAATCAACTATTATATCAAAACAAAACAATTGAACAAAACTGGAACAAAATATAGCTAATATCCTCTTTTGTTTAGCTTAATAGAAATCAATCTTTTCTTAATGGTTTGTTTACTAACAATCAATTTTTTGTTTGTTGATTATTTAACTTTTTTTAACTGAATTTATTTAATTTGTACACAACAACTAAATTTTGCATAATGGTTATTCAAAATTTTATAGCAAAACATGGATTTTTTGAATGTTAATTGGTTCATATCAAACAACTTTTTTCATACCATGAGACTAGAATAAGATAACACTAAACTAAAGATAATACTAAACAAAATAAGATTATTGAATAAAAAAACAAATAAAAACATTACACAAAAAGTAAAAAAAAACTAAAAGACAAAAAGGATATTTAAAAAACATTTTAGATGGAATGATATCCTATTAGGTTTTAAAGGGAGACCTACAATTCTATTCATAGCTAGTAATTTATTATTTGTAATTTATGCTTGTATTGGTTAAACATCAAAAATATATATTCAGAAACCAAAACTACAACCAAATTAATAACATCTTCAAACCATTTGTTTATAGTTATATAAAGATAGATTCGACATTCAGACACCTTTAATGTCTGGTATATTCAACTATTAAAGAAACTGTTAAAAGAAACAAAAAAAAAACACTACATTTAGAAAGCTGGTCCCTGTAATGGTATTAATCACCAAGAATATCAAGCGTTAGTGTTGAAGAATAAACAAAGAGAAGTTAACTTAAAACACTAGATCAACCAGACAAAATAGCAGATACTGTTGTTAAAAGTATAACAACTATTCTCAATGAATACAATTTAAGGAAGTTATAAAGATGATTGTAGCAGGCACTACAAATGTAAACACTGAAAGAAGGAATGAGATAGTCAGTTAGCTACAAAGACATTTTATTAGGAAGGAGGGGGGGGGGGGGGGAGAGGGAGGGAGGGTAGTAAACGACCGGGGTTGATATTTAATTGGGGCCAGGGCCGGTTTTGTGACCAGGGCCGCATAAACATTTATACACCCTAAAGTATATTGTTTTAATTTAAAATTCATGTTATATTTTGCTTATATATGCATATATAAACATCATTATGATCAACATGATCATCATCATCATCAACATCATCATTACCATCATCATGATCATCATGATCATGATCATCATCATCATCATGATCATCATCATCATCATTATCATCATCATCATCAACAGCATAAATGCAGAAAGCTTGATGATAATGATGACAATTTGATGATGATGATCATCATCATTATAAGGCTTTAATCTTCCTCTTTTAAGCTGTTTCTCTAATATAACCAATCTAGAGCATTTTTATTCCTAACTAAAGCTCGTTTTACAATATGTAAGACACTCTCTTCAAATTTTCTTACTTCTACCTTAACCACTTTCTACTGAAGCTGCTACCATTCTTCATGTTGATACCTAAATTACTTTAACCCTTTCCAACAAACGTTTGATACAAAGTTTTTTCTAATCTGTCTAAGATTATGCCTCCTTTCCTTGTTTTGCTAGATTCCCACCACACATCCATCTGATCGTCTTCTCTTTTGGCAAATACTACACCATATAAATACTAAAGTTTATATAACAATGAAAGGATTTTTTATGCCAGCATCTAAACAAATAGCAAACAAATATGTTTATATCCATAATATGTGTGCAAAAAGTGCATCTTGGAAGCTTTTATTGCTGCTGGAATAAAAGTTTGGAAGCTTTTATTACTTCTCTTTAGTTTTAAGTCAAGCTGCATTCTACTCCACATTTTTCAACATCAATCACTTTTTTTATCTATTTATATAAGATTATTTATATAAGAAATCTTATTCTAGTTTGACTCTCGAATATAACACCCATACTCTTCCTCACAGTTAAACAGATTAACCCATTGTCAAACATCGAAATTAATCTGGCTTATGATAATAAAATTAATTTTCAATTAAATGCTTCTACAGTTTGTGATTTCCATCATAGTCCTAAAAAAGTGTTCTCCAGAATTCTCTTCAATTTTTGCTAAACTTTTAAAAAGTGCTAAATAAGTGGTTCCAATTTTTCAAAACTCTAGAAAACACTTTGACCTCTCCAAATATCCTACGATTACTCTTTATTCTGTTTCTTATAAGTTTTTATGTAAAGGTTTTGAGGTTATTAATTTATTTTTTTTTATCTGCAGTAGTAAAGATATTCTTGAAGGCCTACTCTCTCCTTCATTTTAAGTAACTTTAAGGGTAATATAAGATTCTATATTTGCTCCTGTATTATTTCTTATCTACAATAAAGATCTTAATGAAATCTCTATTTGCTGTGACTCAACTTTATACTCTCTACTCAGTGGCTCTATTTGCTGATGACTCAACTATAAACTCTTGTCTTGACAAAAAATCTTCACTTTTTAATTTCTTAAAAGCAGCCAATTTTAAACTGATCTCTCTTTTGTAACAGCCTAAAGCTTGCAGTGGCTTATGGATATAAATTCTGGACTTGAAATTTACAACTTTTGTTAGACAACAAAACTCATTTATTTACTGCAAAAAAATATTGCAATATTGTTGGCATTCCTATATTGACAAATAATAACCCTCTTTTTCTCAGACAAAGTCTAAAAGCACAATGTAAATGTAATTAGACCTGCTTTATCTGCCAAGCTTGAGTCACTCTTGAGCTTGTGTTTTTGTTTTTGGCAATTAAACTGTTAACTGTAAACTGCTTTTGATAATAAATGAACAAAAGTAAAAAATATCAGTCCTTGTAACTATCGCGCAAGTTTAATTTTTAAATGAATGAACTTTTGATCTTTAACTTGCTATATAAGTTAACATGAGGAAAAAGAAAAAACGAAGTATAAACTTGTTTAGACATTTTTTTTTCCTTTTAAAATTCTTTTTAAAATAATAATAAAAAAAGGTTTCAATAAACTTAACAAAAGTTTTATATAGATCTGTTAGTAACCCATAGTAAATGTAATTTTTTAAATTAATCCTAATAATTAAAAAAATATATTTTTAAAATATAAACTTATAAAAATATAATATGGTTTTTATAAAATAATGGAATATGTTTTAAATCATGTTTACCGTAATTAAATTAAAAGGAGCCTTAAAATCACTTTAAAAATTACAACCATTAGTAAAAGTTAAATGAACAGATTTATTAATATTTAAATCAAAATTTTAAATTTAAAATAATAGAAAATAAGTTTTTTAAATACTTATGTTTTTATTCGAATAGTTGATTAAATACGTTTATTAAATGATTATCGAATTTGTTTATTAAACACTTAAATTTTAAATCAAATACAAGATGTAAAACTATTTTGATAATTTTACAAATATTAAGCGATATAATATATGTAAATATATTATGTAATGTAAATAATAAATAAAAATTGTTTAAAATATTTTTAATTATTATTTTAAATTAAATTTACTAAAATATAGTTAATAACTTTTTAAAATACTTTAAACAATTTTCAATAATTATTTACTGATAGCGTGGTACATGCAATAAAAGCGTTTATTAAAATCTTAAGTAAAATAGTTTTCTTTTAGCTCAAGTAACATCGTCCACCAGTAAATTCATGTATTCAAAAAATGCCTTTAAATCAACACCTTATTATAGGATAAAACTGAACAAGATAGGCATAAGAATTATTAAGAAAATGACGATTAAAAACTATTGTTGTGGTACCCATTTAACTAGGGGAGAATGAGGGAGAGGGGGAAATCAAAAACATTATTTCCCCCCCCCCCTCAATGTTGCTGGAAAAAAAAACAGTATCCCCAAATAAACACTGGGTTCTTCACTAGATGTATAACAATGTATAATAAATTATTTATGCAACCTTTTAAAACATTGAAAACTATGTAACTTTATAAACAATTAAACATTTAATTATCATATAAACTTTAAAAATATATTAAATAAATAATATTTAGCATAAATACTGACTAGGTCTCCAATTAAAGCTTGAAGATTAGGTGCCACTTGACCCATTTTAGACTGAAGATAATCATGTAATTTATGCCTGTATTCTACTAATCCAATGACACGAGTAGCAAAACTTTCTATGTTTATTAAATCAATTGGTGATATATCCATTCCTATATTAAAAAACTAAACAATCACAAATGAAATCTACAAAATAAAATAATACTTAATGTCAACACCAATTACAATACAGTTATTAAATATATAAAAACGACTTCATATTATCAATATGTTTCCTATAATTGGTCTCAAAATTACAGCATATTATCACAAGTCTGACATCAAACTGCACTGATTGCAGATTAAATTTCAGTAGCCTTGAAAGCCTATGAAAAGATATATTAGGAGCATGTTTGTGGCTTTACCACAACCTGCAATTCTTTTCAGTATCAAGTTCAGTGCCATATTTTGTCTTAGATTACACTAGTTAAAGTATATTCTACAAAAATTCATTATTATCCTACTCCAGAAGTATGTCAATAATGACAAAAATGTCACACCAGGTGTTAACTTCAGATTATTTTAATTAATTTTTTTATGATGACAGGGGCTAATCTAGACCGTTTTCGACAGCGTCAACTGTGTTTGGGCCATTTGGGCACCATCCAAATTTAGAAGTTGAGGGCTTTTTTTTTATATGGTTAATATTGTTTTTTTTTTGGGGAAAAAATGCCAACAAATGGCAAATTTCCTTATAGCTGGCATCGGCACAGGGGAAAAAATTATTTTCCTAGAATAGCCCCTGGACGAGGAGCCCTCAATTTTAATGAGTTTATCTTTCTATTATTTAAGTTTTATTTTGAACTAAATTTTATAACAAAAGTAATGTTTTTACAACAGCATAGAAATGAAAATGGCTAAAATTGTTGACTTTTGACAACTTAATTTTTAAATGTATAAAGCCTATTTGTTATGTAAAAAGCTGTATAAAACAACAATAAAGCAATATCACAAATTTTGTTTTATGTTAACACAAACTTGATATTAAAAGTTATGCAGAAAATATAAATAAACCAATTATTAAAATGACGAATTCTCTTTTTTATTTTCATTTTAATATCCAATAAAAAAAAGTTCAATCAATGTTCTCTGTTATTGTGTAGGCACTTCTATTTTATATATTTATACTGTGAAAGTACATAGCAGAGCTGACGAAACAATGGAGCCAGGGGACACTGCTCCCCCCCCCACCCCCTGTGCGACAAGAACATTGTCAAAATTATTTACATAAAAAAATCACTGAGAATAAAAATATATATAAACTCAAGAACCAAATCTTAACTTTTAAACCAAAAACATTTACTTTTTAATCAAAAATATTTTATAGAACAATTTACTTATTTACTATTTTAGTAGTTACTAATTATTGAGTGGCAGTCAAAAATTCATATCGTGAACAACAAATATTATATTTAAAAATTAAATAAAAAAAAAATTTTTTTTCTTCTCTTTTAACTAATATTTGATATTGCTTAACTTAAATTATTATCTTCCTTCTTCAAATTTCTTTTAACCTTCCTAATTAAAGTTTGTATGTTAAAAATACTTTGAACAAATGTTTAAAAATTACTAATAAAAATATTTTAAATGAATCTTTAAAAATTACTAATAAAATCCTTATGTAATGCTTAATTATTTTAACCACAGATGCCACAAAATGTTTAACACAGAAGGTTAATTTATAAAAACATACACAGGAAGTTAATCATGAGCATCTGTCTAACACTTTTGTAGTAAATTATAAACAAAGGAGTCTGAATAAAGAAGTAAAACTTTCATTGTTTATTTCAAATTTATTTGTTTAGAAAGCCTTTTTTTTTTTTTGTTTAAAAATTTTGCGCATTATGAAGATGGACCACTTAATTGTTATTATTGTAGTTTAGAAAAGTATGATCAAAGTAACTTAAAAAGAATAATCTTCAAGTTCAGTAATTTTTGTAAAATTGCTAGTTTCTAATATGAAATAACAAAACTACTAGGTTGGTGTATACTAACAACTTAATTTTAAAATTCAAAAAATTACCCATTGAACTACGAGAAGCATCATAAATAGCTTTTGCTTTACCCTCATCCATAACGATCTGTTCTAAAGGCTCTAATTTATCTTCTGTAAAATCTTTTCTTGATTTGATAAAATGTGCAACTTTAGCATACATTAAATTGTCATTTACTAGTTTAACTAACTCTGGAAAATGATAAGAATACCACTCTCTAAAGTAAACAAATTTATTACCACAACAAAAGTCAAAATATGACAAAATAAATCAATTAATGAAATAAATTTAAAAAATTTCTGTTTAAAAACAGTTTCTAAAGAATTATATAACGTTATCTAACAACAAAAACAGAAATTATGAAAAAAACATTTATAAATTTTTTAATCAATAATAAGAAACATATTGAGTCAATAAGCAAAACAATATCAACAAACCTAATACGCATAGCAAACGTGTTTATATCTTTATCTAGTTGATCGACTAAAGCAATGGTCTGAATAATCATATTATCTGCTCGATGAACATTAAACTTGACTTTAGCTCTAGAATAACTATGACCAAGACCAAGTTGAGCCTTTCCTGATGTCTCAGCAGTTAATCCTAAATATATCATAATGTTGTATCAGCTTTAGATACAGGGCTTGAATAGAGAAATTGTTAATTGCATTTACAATATTCACAACATAATATATATATATATATATATATATATATATATATATATATATATATATATATATATATATATATATATATATATATATATATATATATATATATATATATATATATATATATATATATATATATATATATATACACACACACACACATATACATATATATATAAAAATCAAGCCTTCTCATGAGATGAGCGGGCTCGTATGCCATATATGTCCATGCAATATAATATTTTGTTTTGAAAACTTGACTACTGCACCTTGCATGTTTTAAGCTAGCGCATTTTAAAAATTCCCTGAATAAACAAACTATAAACTTGAAAGTGAAATAAAAACTAAAAAAAATAATGCAAAAAATAAATTAAAAAAATTAAAATCTTAATGAATGATAAAATAAATAAAAAATAAACCAGAAAAAATATATGCATAAATTGTTGTTTTTATTTTAATTTTTAAGTGTTTCACTACAAAGAATTTAGAACAAATTGAAGTTTCATAGTTATTAAATCTAAGCCTTATATATATATACACACACATCAGAGATGTACGTTCGTATTCGCCTGACGGTACCAGGTGACCTAATTTTGTAAAGGGCGACTAAAAACATTCCTTTGATGCAATAAAGTCACCCGAATGGCGACTATTGATTTTTTTTGGCATTTTTTTTTTTTTTTTAAATTTAAGGATTTTATAAAAAGAAAAGTAACTTTAAATAAATAAAACTTTATTTTTAAAGTTAGTGCTTAAGTTTGTTTTTAGCATTTTTTAACATAAGAAAATTGTACAATTGTTAAACACAGGGTTGCATGATTTTAACCAAATGGTTTAAAACAATTTAAAAAATGTTGGTTTAAACCAAACTAATGTTTTTTTAAAAAGATTTGAACTTAAAACAGGAAACTAAGACAGGGTTACAGGCTTCATCCAGGATACACTCTACCTAATAGAACTGAAATTGGAGGAAAAATATTAGATAGGGTTTACACAGAAGAAATTGAAAAATGTAATGTATTGAATGGGAAAATTGTAGCCATGTCTTTAGATGGCTGGAGTAATGTACACAATGAACCTATAGTTTGTATCTCTGTAATTATAGATAAAATTAACATTTTAGTAGAAACAATCAACACTTCTGGTCATTCACATACTGGTGAATATCTTACACAATTAGCAAGAGAAGCAAAAGATTTTGTAAGACGTAAATTTGGATGCACAGTAAAAAGCTTTGTGACTGACAATGCAGCTAATGTGAAATCAATAAGACAAGTATTGTCATCTGAAAGAGATATCATAACTTATGGGTGTGCTGCACATATGCTGATTCTTTTAGCAAATGATCTTAACATTGAAAATGTGAGCAAGCATGTTACACAAATAATAAAATATATAAGAAATAATCATCAAGCTGGAGCACTTAATAAATTAAGCGGAGGAACAAAATTGCCACTTCCTACTAAAATTCGCTGGAATTCTGTATGTGATTCATATGAAAAATATGTCAACAACTGGAGCATTATTTTAACAATGTTTGAAAAAAATAAAGACTTGGATCCCGTGATTGGTAAAAAAGTAAGTGATATACAGATAAAGTGAAACACAGAAGATTTATTGAAAATATTGAAACCAATTGCAGTAGCTCTAGATAAGTTGCAAAGTGATCAAACAAAAATAAGTTACTTTAAAAATTTTGAAAGGCTCTAATTTATCTTCTGATCAGATCATTATGGATGAGGGCAAAGCAAAAGCTATTTATGATGCTTCTCGTAGTTCAGTGGGTAATTTTTTGAATTTTAAAATAAAGAGTTCAAGAATTTGTTACCAATATTATTCAAATTAAAAACCAAATCTACTATAAAATAATGGAAATTGAAGGTTTATTAAATGCACCAGTTTCTAGTGCTGGAATCAAAAGAATTTTTCAACTTTTGGTCTTATTCATTTTAAGTTAAGAAATGGATTAGGGGTAGAAAAAGCAGCTTGTATTTATATATAGAACATTAAACAATGATATATTAAATAATTTTGATGAAATATAACAATAATATTGATAAAGAATATAGTTTACTCAAATAAAATACGTTATGCTTTTTTTAATTTAAAAGGATAACTAAATACCGCATTTTTTTAGTAAGGACCTAATTTAAACCAAAAAACCATGGTTTTTTTAAAAAAACCTATGGTTTTTGGTTTTTTTTTTCAACGTTTTTTTTGCAACCTTGGTTAAACATAATTAATAAAATTCTTTCTAAACAAAAACTAAAAAGTTTTTATTGTTTAAATAAAAACACTATTTTATTTTTTACAAATTTTATTAAAGGACTTAGAGATAAAGTAACTAAAATAAATATATATTATAAAATAAATAAATGTGAATGTTATCAATAGTTTTATTTGCAAACTATTTCTAGTCTACACTTAGCCCTGTAATGAAAAATGACTAGAATACGTGAGAAATCTGCTGGATGCAAAAACTTTTATAAAAATAGCAACGAGCTACCCCTTAAAATATTTTTTATTCAAAAAAAATTTAAACCTAGAGTTTTTGTATTAGATAGAACACATTTAGGGGGTGAGAGCAGGTTTTTCTCAAAAAAGTTAATTTAAGAATCACCCTAATATATATAAACACATACATACATATTTATATATATATATATAAATTTATATATAAATTTGCAAGTGTTCCTTCTTTAATTCTTATACATGTTGACTTTTTCACCTGCATCTTTAAATATTTAAAAATATACATATATTTTTGATCAAAGTTAACAGCATATTTTTAAGCAACCTGAGACTTTGATAATCCTTCTCTAATTTCCTTTAAAGCAACACTTTTTTTTTATTGCTTCTGTGTTAATTATTCTCTGTATGTGTAATGTAAACACAATAAGTTTTATTATAATATTCTAAACAACATTAGGATAATACTCTAAAATAACTTTAAAATCAAAATTAAACACTCATGTTTTGTTTGCAATGCAAGATCTACATTATAGTTTAAATAAATTTTTCAGATTTTATTGGGTAACTAGGCTGCAAAATAAAATACGGCATTTTTTTGAGCTAATTCATTTTTAAAAAGACGTCTAAGCATTAAAATTTTTTGAATTAAGCACTCCAGTTTTTTATCATTTATATTAAAACATTGCAATTAATTAATAATTTAAATTTGTATTTCAGTATTTGTTTCATTTTTTGTCCAGGGTCATTCCAGCTCAATTCAATTTATGCTCAGCACCATGCCATCTCAGATTTTGCTGATTTTTGGAGCACAAGCTTGAATTAATATAAGAAAACTTTGCTCTAAATTTTAGTTTCTGACTCTGTACGGTTTCAGAGATAATGATACTTGGTTCCAACCTCTTTTTTGCCTATTTTTTTAGTGCCATTTATTTTTTAGGCTCATTGCATGACACAATTAGCTTTAACTTATGAAATACTTGTTTAATAGTGGTCAAAATTTCTACCTAACTATTTTTTAGGTTGAGGAACATAAAAATGATGGCTAAAGTACAAAAATTTAATTTCATTCTATATGAAAATTTATTTTCAAAATGGTGTAACACATTTTATAAATTTTTTGATGCCCTGTACAAAAAAATGTTTATCTTGAGATGCCTGAAATATGAAATTCTGAAATTTTTTCTTAATGTTCTATATGTAACAAACTCCATAATAAAAAAAAAACTGCATGGGTTTTCTTTTTTAAATTAGATTTATTTGCATTTAAAGTTTTATTTAAAAAATTAAAAACTGTTATTTAATAATGAAAAAAAATTATTTGCATTAATTTTTTGAGTTTTCTAAAAAGATTTTCAGAATCTTTTATAAACGTGTTTGCATTTCACATAAAAGATCTTTATTTTATGCAATCATTATGTTTAATAGCTAAAGGATTTTCTATTTTCAAATCTTCAAACAATAATTATCTTAAAATTGTTTCTTACAGAACTAAAATAATATAACAATATGAATGATAAAGAAAAATAGTCAATTGGAATAATAAATAAAGAAATTTGTAACAAACGAACAATCCCATGATATCAAGAAGGTATAAAGTCTTAATGATGTGAAAAAAGACTTGATAATTAGTCATTCTGGAATTCAATTTGATGAAAATGCAACGGTTTGCCTACACCATGAATATGTTTAAAACGTTACTCCACAATCCATATAACTTGTTGTGATCCATTTAATTCACACAACGGAAAAAGAAGAAAAGGTATTATTACTTAACCATGAAACTTTTTTAAAACTTTATTGTAATTGTATATAAATTATATATATTTTTGCAAAATACTGAAGCAGTAATTATCACTCATGTTTTCAAGAAGATGTGAAGAAATGAATAAGCAACTTGCTGGGATATTAAAAAATATTGGTATTAATGTTATTCCTGGAGAGACTTGTAGCCAGATTTATGGGGATCAAGATAATGAACTTAATATAAACAAATTGTTAAAAAAAAATCTTAATTCTTCTTTGACAACTATGAACATAAGTCCTCTCAAAATGGATGCTGTAAACAGTCACTCAATAGTTGCTCTTTCCAAAAAAAAATTGATACATGTTCAAAAAACAGTAAAGTATTGCAAGATCCTGAACAGTTTAGCCAAGAAGATTCCTTCAATAAATTATCTAAGGAAGTTAAAGGTAAATTAAATGACATGGATATACTTATTAGAAAAATCAAAGAAAAAATGTTAATTTCCAGATGTAATCAGAAAATTCAACTACTAACATAGGCTCCATATTCTTGGTCTCACAAAGATATAGAAAAAGAATTTAATGTTACTAATTATATGGTGCAGATACCACGCAAATTGCTGCAGAAAAATGGTATTTTATCTTTTCATGATAAAAAAGAAAAAAAAAGAAAGGGAAATGCCTCAAGAAACAGTAAATAAATTTATTGAATTTTATTGTAATGATGAAAATAGCTAATGTCTGGTAAAAAAGATTTTGTTAGTATAGCTCAAAGATCTCTCATGCAAAAGTGTTTGATTCTCTTAAATCTAAAACAGCTTTTAAAATTTTAATTTTAAAACCTGTTATACAGATATAAAGAGTTGTTTTTCTTCTAACTTTTGCTCACATCGTCCAAAATGGTGCATTACAGTAGGAGCATCTGGTACGCATACAATATTTGTGTACACCAATCATTAAAATGTTAAGTCAATGATTAATGCAGTTGAATTATCAAAGAATTATTACAAGCTTATTGATATGCTTGTTTGTAGTAGGGCAAACAAGACATGCATGATACATCATTGCCCTTTGTGCCCAGAAGATTCTACATTAGTACATTATCTTGAAAATGAGTTGTACTCTTAAGACAATATTGATGAAGATGATGATTATTGTGTAGATTACAAACAATGGAATGGAAAACAACAGACCAATCTGAGCTATTAAGTCTCACAGAAACGACAAGTAGCTTTATTAATACTTTGAAAAATATGTTACAAAAACTTAATGTTCATTCTTACATACGCAAAAAGTCAAGCTGCTTCTTTAAGAAAGTTAAAAATTGAGTTGAGTAGTACTGAGGTCATTGTCCTTTGTGATTTCGCAGAAAATTACGAGTTTGTTGTACAAGACAAAATACAAAGTTTTCATTGGAAAAAAAATTCAAGCAACATTCATCCAACAGTAATTTATTATAAAGAAAAAATGTCCTCAAATGTGATTCAATGTTTTGTCTCAGATTTACTGAATCATGTAGATATCGTTTATTATGTGATGAAGCTAACAATTGAACATATTAAAATCAATATTTCTCATCAAATAGAAAGTGTCCATTACTTTTCAGATGTACATGGTCTTTCTTTGCAACAAGTCACGGTAAATCACCCTGTGATAGTATTGGTGGGACTGTAAAAAGACTAACTTCAATTGTTAGCCTTCATTGAACAACAAATAATATTTTTACAGCATATGCAATGTTTAATTTTTGCCAAAATGAAATCATAGGAATTACTTTTAATTTCGTATCCAAGGAGATAAACACAATAATTTGAAGTGAAATGAAGAAAAGATATACAAATGCAAAAATGTTACCAGACACTCGCAGCTATCACAATTTCGTTCCAATATGCAACACAAAAATTGGAACTAAAGTTGTTTCTGAACAATTGGAGTATTCATTTGTTTTTAATTTTCAAACTGATAAGATTATTAAAGAACTCTTGTTTAATATAAGCATTGGTGTGTTACATATAGAACATTAAGAAAAAATTCCAGAACCATAACATTTAGGCATTTCGAGAATTTTTTTGTACGGGGCATCAAAAATCTTACAAAAAGTGTTACACCATTTTGAAATTGAATATTTATATAGAAGCTTAAATTTTTTAATGTTTTAGCCTTGATTTTTGAGTTCCTCACCCTAAAAAGTAGTTAGGTAAAAAATTTAATCACTATTAAACAAGTATTTCATAAGTTAAAGCTAATTGTGTTGTGCTATGAGCTTGAAAAATAAATGGCCCTGAAAAAAAAGTCAAAAAAGAGATTGGGACCAAGAATCTCTAAAACCGTAAGTAGTCTGATACTAAAATTTGGAGTGAAGTTTTCTTTCATTAATTTAAGCCTGTGCTCCAAAAATCAGCAAAATCTGAGATGGTATAGTGCCGAAACTTTTTTTTAATTGATTTGACACGGAATGACCCCCCCAATGGTTTTTATAAATATCAAATGAATATTTTAGCATTTAAAACCCCTTTTAAATTTTTATTATAAAAACTTTAATATGATAGTTTTTTATTGCCTATAGAAACCAGAAACCATAGAAACCAGTACTTTTTATTACACTATTAAAATTGAGTTATGTTACATAATATTTGTTTTCGCACTAAAGTTTTTCCCTATTAAAAGTGTTTATATCATAGAAAAAATTGAAAAAGATTTATCAAAAAATACATATTTATTCATATAAATATAATTATGTATAATACTCTTTGATAATTTAAAAAAAAGAGTTTATTATAAACAAGCATTAGAATTAATTTGTTATTTTATTTAATAAAGTAATTAGTAAACATAGTAATTTATATATTTAATATTTTTAGAATAATTTACAAAGCATTTTGCATAATATAGTATTTTTAAAAAAACGTAATATAAATATATTTTCTTTATAAAATTTTTTGAGCTTAGAATTTTTCTTTTTTTTAATGATTTTTTTTTTAGATAAGTTATCTTTTAGACTTTCAGTGCATTTTTGAAACGCTTAATTTACCAAAACAAAATGGCGTGGTCAAGTTGGAAAAATAAAATATTATAAGTGTGGTCAGGATTGGCGTTCAGTCACATTTCTTTATAGTTTTAATGGACATAACCACCAAACTTGAGTATTAATTGGACAAATTGTACGGAACAAAAATGTTCATTATTTAAAGCCCTGTTAATATATGTGTAAAATAATAATAAAAAAGAATAAGACATATGTCTTTATTTTACTTTAAAAGTGTCTCACTTAATGAAATTTTAAAAAAATCGAAGTTTCAAAATTATTTAATCTAAGTTTAATTACTTCGAAACTTTACTATTTTAAAATTTAAAACTTTGATATTTTCAAATGTCTATTTAAGATTGTAAGCAGGATTTGAACTTTCATCCAACACTACACTAACAATTGCATCTTATAAATGTAATAAAACAAAGCACTACACTAATATAACTTTAAAGTATTAATTGAGACACTTCTGAATTAATAAACATTATTTTTATTCTTTTTATTTTCTCTGGTTTATCCTTTTTTTTAAATCATTCATTAACTTCTTTTCTTATTTTAGTTTACGGTTTATAGATTTTTAATTTTTTCTTTAAATCAGAAAGGTTTCTTTATAGGATTTTTTAAATTAATAAATTGTCAAAATATGCCAAAAAAAAAGTGACTAAGTTGTCAAAAAAAAAAAAAAAAATTAATATTGCCTGATAATGCTTTATATATATATATATATATATATATATATATATATATATATATATATATATATACATCAATTGCTTAGCTAATATTTATAAAACTTCATTAATAGACAAGATATTTTAATATGGATATTATTAATATTATAACAAATAAAAAAACTTTTTATAAAACCACGCTTTTGTAATGAACTAAAAAGTAGAAAATAATTTTCTCTTGTGGCTATAGAAATTTTTGAAAATTAATTGAGTCGATAGTAAGTGACATGAAAACTTTTGATTATGAACTCTTAATAATTATGATAATATTTGTAAAATTTTAAACGAAAACCGTGGTGCGCATCTTGTCACTTTAAATGATCATCATTGTCCTTAATTACTTTAACTATTGCTTCCTTCTTCTGTTCTTTTTTTTCATTAAATGCGCACCACTGTTTTTCGTTTAAAATTTTACAAATATTATTGTAATTATTAAGAGTTCATAATCAAAAGTTTTCATGTCACTTACTATCGACTCAATTAATTTTCAAAAACTTCTATAGCCACAAGAGAAAATTATTTTCTACTTTTTAGTTCATTACAAAAACGTGGTTTAATAAAAAGTTTTTTTATTTGTTATATTATTTTCTTCTTTTTAGTTTTTGATGGGTGGAATTTTATATTTTGTAAACAACTGATTTTGTTTTTATGCTGCGGTCCATTTAAAATCACAGAGACAGTTAAATTTGGTTTTTTTGTTCGAAAATTTTTTATTTAAAGCGACGCGTCAAATTGCGGCGAAGCCTCCAAAAGTTTCGCCATAATAAATTTTATTTTGCTGAAATTGTTCAAGAAACTCGACAAATCATGGTAAAAGTAGTATAATATTGCATTGTCATCGGGTTCTGAGCTATAGTAAAAGTTTCAGAACTCTAGCTAATCAAAAAGTGGGTTAAAATTGAGTTGCAAAATTCCACCCGGACAAACAAACAAACAAGAAAGCAAGCTAATAAAAACGTGGTAAAAACAATAAATAAATTTTTAAAATACAACATTATTAAGGATTGATTTATTTGTAAATTTTTTTTTAAAAAGTTAATAAATTGTGAAAAAAAAAATTAACCTTGGATGAATTTATGAAAATGATATCTAACACCACGCAAAATTTCACTAACAGCAGGTCCATACTCACAAAAAATATTGCAGCTTTCCTGGATAGCAGCCCCAAGTTTGGCATCAGATATACCTAATGCAACTTTACTTTTTTTTTTACCAGTAGGTAAATTATTCTCCAAAAAGGTTTTTAGATCTTCATGAACAACACCTAACAAATATTTTTAACATCATTAAGAAAACATTAATATATCTATAATCAGCAATAAAATTAATAAAAAATTAACTATAAATTATATTCATTGTACATAAAAAATTATTTTATATAAAAGTATATTAGAGAGTATGAAGAAACTTAAAATAGAGTTAATAAAACTAATAAGGTAAATAAGGATAAGTGCTAATAAAAATAACGATTATAAAACTAAAGCCTGCTTTTGCTAAAAACAACCAGGTAATAAATGTAAGTATTTATTGAATACATTTAAACATTTATTTGCCTATTCCTTTATGAATTGAACAGTTAAATACAAAGTTATTTATTAGTTAATTCATGTCAATTTTACTGGTAATGTTAATTAAGGGAACGCACTTATAAATATTTTTAAAAGTTTAGTTTTATATAAATATTTTTAGTTTTAATTTAATTAATATAAAAAAAAACTAAATTAAAAATTTAAAACATGTACCTTCTGATATGCTATTGATGTTTTCAAGTGCGTTAGCAGCAGTTTTAAAGGGTGAAAATGCAACTAACTTTACAATTCTACCAAACCTTTCTAAATCAAGAACAGCTTCTTGAACTTCTGGTAACAATGCACCTACATCTTCTGAAGAAATTACTTTAAAAACAGCATACCCAGCAGCATGTTCAAATAGTACATATAAAACCATACTAAGTAGAGAATTTAAGAATTAGTATGATTACATATAAATACTATGATTACAATTTGTTTCCTTTAAAATTATGTCGTTTTATACTATAGTAATTTATACTCTAACTATATCTAATTACAAAACAAAATATTTCCCTGTGCAATGTTTATACTGCTTTCTTTTTTGTTTACAAAAAAAAACTAAACATCAAAATAACACTCTAATATTATAAATTTATAATGGTTTTGCATCTATTAGGTTTTTGGTAATAATTAAAAAAATTTGAAATTAAAAATCATCAGGCAGTTTAGTACACTTATTTCCTATAACTTTACAAGTCCATTTTAAATTTTTAGAACGAAATTTCTTGGATTCAACTTTGTTAGGTCTATTTATCAGAAGCGTGCACATCAAAATAGCTCTGAATTTATTACAAAATCAAAATTAACAAATACTTTAACAAAACGAATTCCAACGAGCTACACGGCACAGTGTTAAGTATTTACCACGATGCCATACACATGGCGATGGTGAGAAACCCAGCGTTTTTATGTCAAAATAATTCTTTTGATTCTTGGACAATATTTATTTTTAAATTATTTTAAATATGATTTTTGTTATAAAATATTTTAATACTGATTTTCATTTTGAAAAATAACTTGTAAACTAAGTTTTACAAAATTTTCTTTTATATTAAGAAATAATTTTTGAATTTAGTTTTAAGTCTTTAATTTTTCTGATTTCGTCGATTAAAATAAATAAATACTTGTTTTATGAAGAAATGAACTAAGTATGGAACGGCTTTTACAGAGGTATTTTAAAAACATATTTTATAGGTAATAATTTATTGTAATTAATGTAATTATTAATAATATATTAGCAACCATTTTTTAAACTAAATTTGAATAGTCGTTTATTTCGTTTTGTGAAGCTTATGGAATAAAATAATTTTTAATATTTTGACCTTTAATGAAAGTACCTCTCACCACGAAAAATTTAAAAGAATTTATTTTTTCTTTTGAAAATGTCTTTTTATTTTTTAAATTTTTCTTTTATGATAAAAGAATAAAAGAACTTAATATTCAAGAATATATCTTATACACGTTTTTATGGGCGGAAGTGTATTTCAGGCACCCCTTTAGTTAGTCAACTTTTTGCATATAGAAATTAACAAAATCATTGAAAAAACAATCTTTTATGAATAAAAATCTAATTTTTTAATGATAAAGGTGGCTATTTGTTGCCCCCATTAACCCCTTGGATTCACCCTGTGACTAAAGAGATATTTATAAATTTGTAGGTTACTATTACACCTATCTTTTGATACTAAGTTATAAACATTTAGAGAAGATTTGACAAAGTTATTACATTTTTAGTTCATAAAAACATTTTTTAGACCACAGTTTTTTCGATAATCCATATATCAAAAAATCTGTACTAAAAACGTCATAAATTTTTTATAATTTATCACTTTTAAAGTATTGAATTGAAGCTCTTTCTAATGATGAATTCGTCTTGTTAGATTATCCATAACAACAATGGCCTAAGGTTTGCCATAAAATGTTATGATATAAACTTTATTTAGCTGTTTATACATCTTCTAATATATGAAAAAATATCTATGTCATTATATGATAAAAGCTCACAGAAATCCTAGAAGCTGCTTTCCTGCAATCCTTGAATCCTAGAAGCTAGAAGCAGTTATATTTTTAACTAAAAATATACCCAAGCAACATACTGGTCACGACGATATCAAGATTTTTGAATTGTTACTAGAATTAAAAATTTGATTTATAACATTTTACAACAAAACTATAGAAGAGCATAAAATATAAAAAAAGGTTCAAATGATGCAATAGCTGTAGGAAAGTAATAAAACTTTATTGTGACTGGCAATTAGAAGTACTTTTTGTGTTAATGACAACTTGGTACATACGATTTTTACCTGAGTGTATTTAACATGTATTGAGTTTCATAACTGTACTTGAGTTACATAACATAAATTTTATTTGGTTAATTTGAGTCGGTTTGAGTTTAGTTGTGCATACTTATAAATAAAATATAAATTATGGTCATCAAATCTAAATTATGAATGTCTATTTATTGAATTTATGAGTAACAAAAAAATAAAAACTTAGTATTTAGGTGCGCATATCAACTCACAAGAAAATTAAATTAGGGGTATTTATAAAATATACAGTCTTGAAAAAATTAATAAAGAACAAAAAATCGATATAAATTTGAACGCTTCAAAATACCAAGAGCATTCAAAAAAAAAATCTTTTTTTGACAAAATATTTAATTATAACCAGTAATAAATTAAATAAGTAGAGGAACGAAAAGTATTAATATATATTATATAATTAACAGTTATATAGAAACTTTATTTAAAACTAGTATTTTTAAAACTGGTATTTTTAAAACTGATTTTTTTAATCACGTTCCAAAATATTGTTTAAAGTAAAGGCTTTAAATGCAATAACAAACGGATATTCTAAAGATGTAAATTCCAAAACACGCAAATGGTTAATAATTAATAAGAACAATTTTTTTTACACTGGAGTAAGAGACGTAGAACATATATATATATATATATATATATATATATATATATATATATATATATATATATATATATATATATATATATATATATATATATATAAATTCTACATTAAAAATATATTAATAAAATGTGGTGCAAAATGGGGTACTGAGACAAAATGGCTTTTTGAAAATAAATCTTGTTCTGAGAGCGGAAACAACTAAATAGTGATTGTTTTTGAATTATCATGTGACAAAATGCCACCATCAGTTGCATTAGTTTAAAATTTTGATAAAATTTGTCTTGACTAAGTAAATACAACTTATTGTAAACTTCGATGTATTTAACGACGCTGGGTAATTTAACTGTGTCATATTATATGATGCAGGATGCAGCCTTTTATTACTTCATGTGACATGCTGAAGCTCATATTACATTTAACTAGTATAGAACTGCGTATTATTATAACTAAAAATTTTTTAAGTTTGAAGTGGTTAATTTAGTACTTTTGAGGAAGAAAATGAATGTGTTATGCACATTCACCTGACAGAGGCTACATTAGCCACTTGTGCCGTAGGCTTTAACCAAGTGGTTTTTAACCAAGTTTTTTTTCTGTACTGGAAGAAGTTGTGGATATAAACATGCTACATTTTAAAAATATCTGGAATTTTAAAAAAATAGGTATTTTTACAGTTCTAAAGTGTCTCTCATAAATTGTTTTAACAAAAGGAAAGAGACAAGTTAGTTCTCTCACTTCAGCTGATAGGGGTCGGCTTATCACAGCCGTTATTTGCTCATCAGAAAGTGTTAGGTACATGCCGCTTATGATTATTTTTACACTTAGGAGGGAGGGGGAGGTAAAGGGTAGGCAACTTTGTGACGATTTGTTACGAGGCAACATCAGGCAACATCATGCAAAATACCGCTTGTAAATATGAAGTCTAAGAAATGTTCACACTTTGTTTGATCAAGACTAGATCGCACGAATACTTCTCTGAAAATGCCAACCCTTCATGAGATGCATGCAATTTTCTTGCTGTTTCTATAGGATGTTTGGTACACTCAAATATATTCATCATAAACTTTTTGGTATACTTGGTATAGTCTAATAGCGAGAGGATAACTAACTTTCCCATGGAATCACTTTGTTTATATCCTTCTGAGGACGAACAATTTCAAGAGAGAGTGCCGTTTTTTCATCAACATTTTTACTGTTAAGAAAATCTATAAGAACTTCCTCTTGTCCAGCTACAGCTTCCGCAAATTTTATCTTTAATAAGTTTTCTAGGCGAACATACTTGCGTTTTAACTTATCTTTAGTAGTATCTTCCAGATATTTGAACTTCCTTTTTAATCTATATTTTATTAGACTTGCGTTAAAAACCTCGGTTACACTCTCACAGCTTCTAAAAGATTCGTTCAAAATCTCATGTGAAACATTAATTTCACCGGGATCAAATTCTTTATCTGGAGTAGCAGGTGTCATATATGTATGTTCGTGTTGTATTTGTGTTTCTGTAAATAAATTGGTGTTGTCATTCACTCTAGATAAAGCAGTTTCTTGTTTTAAATGTGTAAAACACAGCATTGCACTAACTGAAAATACTTCATTGTAACGCTTTGACATTGGTAAGACGATATGTATTGGTGACGCCTTTAAAGGGGGAGATTTTTTTCCTTTTATATTTAAATGGTGAGGATGAAAGCATATTTTTAGAGGACTCCATGCAATACCAAACGTGTACCGGTGAAAAACACATCTTTGTTCATCCTTTTCAAGATTTCTTTTAAATCTATTTGCAATAAGTCTAATTTCTTCTCAAACATTATTATCGTTTAATCGCATAACCAAAAAACAATTTTTTAAACAATTATTAGATGTGTCATTTAAAGCAATTGTTTATAATCTGACTCTTCACAAAAAATGTTCACAAGTTTGAAATACATTGTTGTTATTATTAAAATACAATATTGCAAGAGTGTGATTAATTTAGTGATTATTTGTTAAAAGAGTGAGGAATTAATTAAAAGAGCTTTTTTTTTTTTTCAAAGAACTTTGTCTCAAAATCTTATTGCAGAGTAGTTATAAAGCATGTAATTGTAAAAGTTATTATACAGTCTGCGTACATTTAAAATGAATAATTACTTTTAAGTTGATGAGGTGTTTCTTAACGTCAACATCTCCCAGCTGATGAATATAGAACATTTTAATTATAATTTTATGTTTTTTGAATGATCCACAATTTCCTTTTGGAAAGCAACAACAGCTTTCATAAAAATTTTTGTTTTGTTCCATACTCATCTAAAAACAAGTTTTATTTATGCAGTCCCTATTTCTCAATAACAATGAAAAAATATCTACTCTATTTATGCAAATTTTAAAGATCGTTAAAATAAAGTTAAGATATTTTTATGATAAAATAAATTACCACCCACTAACTAATTTCTCCACAATCGTGATTTCGGCCATTCTTTGTTCCATTCAATCACCACAAGTTATT